GAGAGGGTTTCTGGGGGTAGCGTCCACACACACACACACACACACACATACACAACAGTTCGATGGCGGGCATAAAGGGACGCCGACGACGCCGTCGGCCGGCGCGTCCTTTAACTGCTACCCCCGGGGGAGGAGGGGGCGGCGTGTATTGAAATACGAAATTTAATTAACTTGAGAAGGGTGAAAGTGTACAGTAGTTCAACCGCCTAGATTCATAACCTGATACGTTACTTTTTTGTTAAGATTTACCAATTTTTAACCTAATAAATTGTTCGAGAAGTTGCGGCACCTTTTTGTACGTTACAATAGATTGGCAAGGCTACCAATATTTACAATAACTAGTACAATTTTTTATTTTTTCAAACAAACTTTGAGGAATGGAAATTGAAACCCCGTTTCTAACATATTCCTGTAGATATCGCAGTACAAAATACGTTTATAGTAAAAATTGTACTACTATTTCATTCATAATATTCAGGAATTTTTCAGATCAGTAATCGCCTTAATCATGTGCAAAAGCATATGACCACCCTAAAAACAAAATAAAATATATTAGCCCAGTTACTGTAGCTGAAAATATAGTAATACCTCCGAATTTTTTATAACTGCATCGATTTTTCCCAAAATTTAGAATTTGGCTCATCTTACCCCCCACTTCCAAACTTATATATTCGCTAGGTGTGCTTTTTGTTCTTAAGGAGTGAAAACCACCCGTTATTGGAAAAAAAGAAAATATACAAATTAAAGCATTTTATGTAATCATATCTTTTTTATTTGTGCAGTATGAGTAATTTCATGTGCTATCTAACATGAAACTTAATGTATCCCAAACCACCCTTTTGGATGAAAATAATATAATTTTTTTTTCAACTTGAAACGTTTTAATCATGCATTTTTATCAAATTAAAATTGATTTCTTGATTAAAAAATCTTTTTTATCGATTGCATCTTTTCAATCCTTGAAAAATACCCCTTCTTTAGAAAATAAAATGAAAAATTATTATTGAAACAGTAGAAACATTTTAAATGTGGATTCGTCGTGCATTAAATAAACATTTATCCCCTTATTATAATATAGTAGTTATAATATAGTATACTACTGGTTTATTCCAATATACACATACTAAATACGTATATATACAAAAAAGATCTAAATGCTTCAAAATTCTTGTTTGACCTAAATTTTCCTAAAATTATCACCTATACACGTGTTAATTTTTTTGACGATAACTTTCTTACTTTTTAAGATTTTTAATCGTACAAAGGCTCATTTTGCAGGGAATTGTAATGAACTGTTGAGTTGATCTTTTTTAAGCCCTTTATTTTTAAGTTTGAAGGGTTTAAAGAGCTCGAAAGGGTAGTTCTCTCATTCATATGATAACTTAAAATGGCGATATCTCGATTAATATTAATTTTAGAGGAATAAAAAAATAATGCAAAATTTTCAGCAAATATAAAGCTAATTTTTTTTACTCTTGTATTTTTTCGTACACCCTTTAATTTTTAAGTTACAACGTAAACATCGAATTTTTTTCAAAAATTTGAAAAATTTACATTTTGAAAAATTAATTTTTTTTCGAAATCATGCTTTGTAAGTGAGCCAAAGACCCAGAACATATTCTTAGAACATAAATGAAGAAATCTATAAATGGATTGCATTTAATTTTAATTCTGTCGCTAAAGGCACTGATATGTTTATAATTTTTTTCTTAAAAAAATTAGATCATGTGATTTCGATCATATTTCCGTTAGTTTTGATTCTAAAGACTTTTAAAACAGCCAATTTTAAAGGTTTTGCAAAGTACTTTAAAAAAGGTTCAAATAGTTTTTTTTCCTAATATTTATGGTTTTCACATTATTTAACGTTAACTGGTTCCAATTTAGTTTTTAACTAACATATAATAATGTTTAAAAATCCATAACCCGGTTTATATTGCATTTAGAGAAAAACAAAATAATGCCAATAGATTTGTTTTTTTTTATTACCTTTCGTTTTGTTTATTACAACGTTTTCGTTAAATCCAATGGTTTCAGAGTTATTTGCAAAAAACTGTCTGTTTTTTATTTTTTTCAAAATGTTCACTTCAACTAAAGATGGCTGTAAAAAACAATGTCTCTTTAATAACCAAAAAATTATATTTTCCGTATTGAATTGGGAATATATTGACTTATTTTCAGGGCGACTCGAAAGCTTGGTGGAAAAGGGGACATGGTCCCTACGCTCTCTCTGCCTCCGCCACTGCTATACAGACCTGCACTATAAAATTTTCCATTTATTATCTGATCAGGTTTGGATGATCATCTGACGTTCGGGCATCATCAATTTTGGAGATGCAACAAAGCCTTATCTAGGAACACTTAATACTAATTTTAATTGACCTCACGTAAATGCTCTTGTCACAACAATGTATAATAATTCGCCTCGAGATAACATTAAACGCATATTAGAGTTCGAAAAGGTTATCTGTCATTTAATCCTACAATGTGACGCTATGTATGCAATCCCACCAATTCACATTGATATTTAGAATTATAATATCATGTGACAGATATTATTAGATATTACAATTGTGAATACCTCTTCCAAAACCCAGAGCACATAATTTATTGGTGGAAATTGACCTATCCTTACATTCTTTAATTAATATCAACCCGTTTTTTTATCCTATCCAGATAATTGTCTGTTTCGTAAAGGGTTCTGGTCATTTGCGAAGGTCTTCGTTCTACGTAGCACCGTACCATCAGGTTTTCACCTAAGATTTTGTTAGAAGGGCGAAATGCCCCCTGTACAGCTGAAGGTTAACAATGTTGTTTCTAAATTGTGACTACATGCCACCTGATATTAACTTATAACTTCCTTAAGGAATTTAATTTTCTACTTTCAGCGTTCCGCCTTGCGACGGTAAATTTTATTCTGAATTATGGTAGAGTTTACTTTAGTGAAAATCTGACGGAAATCAGAGGAATTTGTGGAGGCGTACTTCGTCGTCTCAATCCGTCAAATGCGAAAAATGTATTAACTTCTTGAAGTCAGATTTCCAAACAACGTTGGAAATATCATTTTTATTTAAATAAAAAAAAATATACGACATAGTCTATTTAAAAAATAAAGACGTCCCGTATGAAAGTTATAGGGTATACATATACCATTTAAAAAAACATTTTGTCAGAAATATCTTCTCGATTTATATTTTGTAAGCTGTGCATTTTGAACCATAATTATTATATTCTGCATCCATTTGTCCAGTCTCCCCCCATTCCAGTTTTAATAAGCAAACCCTAGGCGGTTATTAATCCAGGATGAGCCATATATCAAAAACTACATTAAATCATGTAGCTCTAATATTATTTCGCGCCACTGTTGTTCAATAGGGGTATTACAGCATGCAGTCATTATTTATACGGGCTTTATTGTGTTCGACCAGTCCCAAAACGACGACGAATCGAAAAATACGGATGGGCTGGTGAAAAACTGGATTACCATTGGAACATCATTCCAGGAGATCCGTATAGATTTTGTATATGTATTCATCATGAGTATATTTTGATCAAAAAACAGGTTTCTTGTACCTTTAGTAAATTTTTATTATTGGCATAGTGTGTAAGATTTATTATATATTGTGCTTTTACAATATAACAAAATATTAATATCACCGTTACATTTTCAGATATTGCTATAAAATTAAATAATGTGGCAAGAAGCTTGACCTGTAACAATGTAAAAGTAAAACGGATTTGGCAGACATGTATGACTATCAGCGTTGCCAGACGTCCCGATTTTGGCGGGACGTCCCGCTTTTTATCCCAAAATTAAATGTCCCGCACGGGACACGCTCAGTCCCGCTCTCGAATGATTTTTTCCAGATCTGTTATTAACGTCCTTTTTTTTAGACAGCGATATTTTTGAAGACAAGAGTGAGACCTTCTCTTTTTTTACATCAATTATACAAACCCGTAGTACGTCCCGATTTTGGACGAAAGAATCCCGCTTTTTTATTCAAAAAGTTTCAAAATCCCGCTTTGCCCGAAAAAAAATCTGGCAACACTGATGACTATGCTTTAGTTGCGCCATCTATTGATACGAGGCCAACTAAAATATCATACCACTGTCCTTCTTCATTATTAAGTAATAAAATGACAGAGAGGTTACTTAAATAATAAGGTTTCTATAATATAATATTGATGGTTTAGTACCTACGTCACAATTAACCATGGCGTAAATTTCGAATAAAAATTTAAAAAAGCATATAATTTATACAGGGTGTTTCAGGATTAAGTCGACAAACTTTAAGGAGATATTCCTCATAGAGAAATAAGAAAAAATGAAGTATAAATTTTTTTCCAGAGACGCTTCATTTTCGAAATATAGGGCGTTAAAGATTTATAAATAAATTCGAATTTTTTAAATAACTTCTGAATGAAGAAGGCTATTTAAGCCAAATTTGGCATGACACATCTTCTTATAAAGATGTCATGCCAAATTTGGCTTAAATAGCCTTCTTCATTTAGAAGTTATTTAAAAAATTCGATTTTTTTTATAAATCTTTAACGCCCTATAGGTATTTCGAAAATAAAGCATCTCTGGAAAAAAATTTATAGTTGATTTTTTCTTATTTTTGTATGAGGAATATCTCCTTTCAGTTTGTCCACTTAATCCTGAAACACCCTGTATAAGGTCAGTAACTAAACACTACATATTTTTTATGCAAGTACCCTATTGCCTGAAAAGTTAAAAATCATTATAACGAATTCGAAAAAATATTTAAAAAAATTGTATCATATACATATCTGTACAGGGTGTCCTAGAAACGTTAGCTCTTGTTTATTCGTTTCGTATGTCTAATTTTTTGTCATCTTCAAAGATCCTTTTTGTCTCGTAAAACAGCAAAATCTGCATCCAATCATGTGCAATTTTACCGCACAGTTATGCGAGGAGGGGGCGGAGTATCAATATTTTCATCGGTTTTGAGTATTTTGTATAGATTTTTTGTTTTTTCCAGGCAGCGTCGTGACACCAGGCACCATTTCGTCCCCGTGGACACCAGTGACCGGCCCGCCGGCCGACACAAACGGCCCGGGCCCGGATACGAAGAATCTCGACGTCGGCGATGTTAGCGATGTAAGTAGTCACATTTACCGTTTCAATCCGCCACTGTAAAAAGCGACACACCAAATAATTGTTAACGGAAATCTACTTTACTAGACAGAGCTCCTTTTTTTGACAGGATGAAAAGGATATGGCAGCTGCCGACGCGGAAGGAGTTTGGAGTCCGGACATCGAACAGAGTTTCCAGGAGGCCTTGGCGATATACCCGCCCTGTGGTAGGCGGAAAATCATACTGTCGGACGAGGGGAAAATGTATGGTGAGTAACATTACCATAAATCTAAATCCAAAGAAAATGTGTACGTATTTCCATTTATTAGATTCGCTAGGATAATCTTCCAGTCCATTACTTTTCAGTGCGATAGCGTGTGTTTGATTTTTTCTCATAATCAACCATTTCACCGTATTAAAATACAATCGAGCATCAGTCGGCGCGTAAATGTTTTATTGTACTGCGAGGCAAGAGTTTTTTTTTTGCAAATGAACAGTTTGGTGCTATACAGGCTGTTCTACAAGCTCTAAGACAAACTTTGAAAGATGGTAGATGGGTTAATTTTTGCTTATATGAACATATCGTCCCTATTATCACGTAGAGACGTATGTGTTTATCCATTTCTTGAATTATACGCCCCTACGTGATAAGAGGGACGATATGTCCGATTCGTTTTTGTTTAGAAGTTACAAGCATTTTAATAAACATAACTTCATATTTCAATCAAATGTGGAGGCGGTAGAAATGTATACGTCGAGTTGAAGAATGCGCGCGCGGGCAAACGGCGCACAAACACAGCCTCACTGGGCTACCGGTTATAAATTTCAGTTGTTGACAAATTGCCTAGCAGTGCAGTGCAGCAATGCGACTCAATAGAAAATATAAATGTTTTTTGATATATCGTAACCAAAATTAACCGTCAATATAATAAAATTGTTTGTAATTTGTAAATAATTAAAATATGTTGTTGGCCAAATGAACAAATAATATAAATTTTCTACACATTATATTCAAATTATTATTATTTTTTACCTTTAGCAGAAAACTGTTTTAAGGATGCCTATGAAACTCATTAAATTTTACTGCTGGGCGTTTTTATACATGTTCAACTGATTTCGGAAAGACTATAACTTCTAAACAAAAATGAATCGGACCTTTGTTCATATAAGATAAAATGTTTGATATTAACCCAGCTAACATCTGTCAAAGTTTGTCATAGAGCTTTAGAACACCCTGTATTCTGACTTGAATGGTATGAAATTAATAAATTGATCATTTTTAGATCGTCTATTAATTTTTATTAACATTCATGGAAGCTGTAGCAATTATAGTTCCTTAAGTGTATGTTTATTATCTGTACCAAAGAATATAAATAAGATTCTAAATCGGTTAAAGTATTATCGTGTTAGTGGCAAGAGTTAGAATAAACTGCGCTGTAAAAATGACATATTTTTCGAATTATACTCCCGCTAACTCAGGTTTAGAATTTTTCATAAGAAACATTATCTTGTTGACAAGGGCTGTGTTAGACATTGTCGTACTTTTCTTAACTAATTTTAGGAATTGTCTAAAGGTGCTGAAACTATTTAGAGAATGAGAGGGATGAAAGAAAAAATAATAAACTACTTTTTCTATTTTTAATTTAAATTTAAAAAATTAATAGAAATAGCTTTGCCTAATCAAAAAATCCCACACTGAAAAAAAGCATACATGTAATATCTATTTAATTTTTTTAAAGAGCAAGACGTTCCGTAACACCTAGATCTTGTCTAGGTGACAGTGAGACGAGATTGTTCGTTGGAATATTCTGATGAAGACAACCACATACATCGAAACATAAAAATTAGGTCACGTAATAAAAATACCCAGCACGGCAGCAGTAAGGGTCGATTACATTTATGCGAACAAAGTATAAGTATTTTTAAATGAGAACAATTTATTACATTTTTGTTACTTTTTCCGTCAACAAGCTTTTTCCTTCCTAATATTACAATTAACTGGCAATTTAATATATTCTGATTAAATTTGCTTCCAATGTTCAGCAGTACTTTTTTTATTTTATTAGGTATATAAAAAATTATAAATTTCTTCTCGCGTGGAGTCGTTCGAGCGGCTTCAAACGCAACAGAAATCCGCGTATAGCCCTAAAACGTTGGGAACAAAGGACCACTTGACAGTAGCTAGTAGAATTTCTAGAAATTGGTAGGAAAACGGAATTGGAGATGCAAGGCGCAGGCTGTGAAGATATTGACCGTGTGTCCAGTAACTGTCCTGTCCCTGTCCACTCCTCGTAATGTTGTGTGAAATCGTGGGGCGCGATGGAGAAGTCAGAAGGCTAGGAAGGGGTAGGAAGGAACGCCAGTTGATGTTCAGCGAATAATTTGTCTTACATTTCTGAATCTAGGATTTAAAATCTCTTAATCTAAGACAAATAATTGTGGAGTTAGTTACTTCCAAAGCGTCTGGACACGCCTTTATCAGGTACAAAGTGTACACGTAGCTTTAAAACACGATCATCAAACTTTTACGCAAAAAATAGTATATTATTGTTTTATATTTCATACGTGAATGATTATTTCCTGCTGGCGTCAATTTCCACGGAATTTTCCCGCTGCTCGCATAAAAATTCGACGTGATTATTAGATACACAAACGTATTTTACGGCCTGTTTATGCCGGGACTTCTGACATTGCGCAAACCTTTAATATTTATTTAATAACCGGACTTTGAAAATTTATTTGTTTTTAATGGTCCGTCTGGTATTATTACCGTAAATAAAAACTGTCGTTATATTGTAAATGTTCAGGATTTTTGGTCCCAGTTCGATTAAATAGCACAACCAGTTCATTTGAGAAGTAGTAACCTAAATTTCATTACACCAACTCTTTCTACACAAATAATAGGGATATCCCACTATTTTTTTTTTGTTTACAACAGTACTGGAAAAACTAAGTCTTTTGTCATCTGTCATGTTTGTAATTTTAAAGTTTTGCATCCTTCAAATATTTGTATTGTTTTTGGATAGTGTTTCTATGTATAGGGTGTTTTTAAAAGTGGGGTTTTAATTCTATTAGCTACCCATTTATATTAAAATTTATTTTAAGTCAGCACTGATTAATAATTACAAATTCTGCACCAGAAATATCATTATCTTCAAATGTAAATATCAAACGTAAATATGTCTGTTATTATAAAACTTTTATTAGAGTGAATTTTTTTATGAAACACATTAATTTTGCATCAACTATAGCCCTTTAAAATTAAAACTCTTCTTTCGGAAACACCTGGAAAATTCTATGACTATTTTTACTTTATAGACAGTGGAATTTGGTATTGTCGAAGTAGATTTCAGTAATCTATCATGAACTGATCAACTGGCGACAGTGTTTTAAACATACAAAAATTTGAAAGTTTTATTAGTTTATTAGTAGCATTATTGGCTTTTAGCAGAAAGATAAAAATTGAAAATTAAAAACGATTACAAATTTCGTTTGCTTATACAGGATGTTAATTAAGTACGTCGTTAAACTTTCAGGGGAAATTCTTTGATTGATTTTAAGTCAAAATGGTTTTAAAACATAGGTCCACAAATCAATAGTTTTCGAGATGTTAGGGTGTTGATATTTAAAAACACCTATTCTAAAATATCTCTGAAGATGTTTAATCCAGAATTATGAAACGTGGGATAATGATTTGTCTAATTAAAAGTAAAAACTCAGTGAATTCGGATATACATAAATACGTATACCACAGAAATTCGACGTAAGTGGATATTTAGAAAATTCGGATTACTACCTGTGTAACTGCTTGTGGTATTTCCAAGAAACGACATTTTAATTTATTTGAGAAATATACCATTTTCCATAACTTTTTTTAATGTTTATTTATGTTGCCACTCCACAAAATGTAAAACAACTAGAACTACTGTTTCTCAAAAAAAGGTGCATATGATTTTTTTTACTAGAAATACAATTTTAAAGAAACTAATCATGCAAATATCAGTGGCGTAGAAATTTGCATTTTATTAGAGATATTTAGAAAAATGTGATTTTTATTTTAATATCAACACTGTATCTCGAAAATTATCCATTTGCGTACGCTGTTTGATTCAAAATCATTTAAAGAATCGCCCTTTTAAAGTTTGTCGAAGTACAATAAAACCCAGTATATTGAATATTTGCAATCACTTCCCCATTGACTTTATTTGGTTTGTTTGGAGTTAGAATTTTTTTCTCCTACCAATGTTTATTAAAAATTAAGTTTCAGTCTATAACTCATTCACATAACACTAAGATAAATAATAATTATTTAATTGTAGTGCTATCATTAAGATTTTTTTATTATTTTGGCCCCACCCCATTTTATTAGTTTAATCTGAACATAAAAAAAATGAAACTTTAGAAATAATGAAAAAATTTAAATATTAATTACAATAAACTTAAGATTCTTGGCAAGTAATGAATATACTTGTGTCCAAAATAATTCATACCTATTATTGTTTTTAATACTTTATTATCCATTGTCTTTAAAAGGTCTGGACAAAATTCTACCACATATTCCTGCAAAATATGAAAATCTAATCCAAGTTACCTTAGTCCAAAATATGATACAGGGTGCTATATTTATAATTTTGTTAGTTTTTCTTCAATAACTTCATTATTAATTACAGTAAATACATAAAATATAGGGAAGATTTCTGACATGAGAAACTAAAATCTGTTCTTGGATTTGCTATAAATTATTAGAGGGCGACACCTATAGTACTTTATATGCTTTTAAATTGTTATAACTTTTTGCGTATTTAAAATTTTGAATCGTGTTTAGAAGCCAAAAACAATAAAAAATTTTAAAACTAATGAGTCAATAACGACAGGTGTGTAGAAGCCAACAGAACAAGAACAAAAATTTAAAAAAATATGGAGTAAGTTAAGTACTTAATTTAATTTACTTAAATTAAATGTTCGAAATGACCATTTTCTTGGTCACAAACTGAACTCTTCAGATGATCTCTGAGTCGGTTCTTAAATAAAAAATAGGCAACATCCCATAACTCTTCCTCGTTGTTTACACCATGGATTTTAAAGATAGAAAATAATCTAACGGTATCAGATCCGGTGAGCGTTGTGGCCAACCCTCAAGAGCTTCATTTCCTCTACCAATTCATCTATTTGTAAAATGTTCATTAAAATGCTTACGAACGTTTGAAGTAAAATGTGGGAGTGCTCAGTCGTGCTTAAACCACATGTTGTGAAAATAAAAATATAGTT